CCCATAAAAAATTTGCGGCGGTCTCACCCCCATAAAAAATTATGGGGGTTGAAAGTTGATTATTTTGACAATTTTCATACACTATATTTCAAATAAAATTCAATAAAACTTTCAAAAATATTTTCAAGCGGGTGGAGGTGGGGCATCGAAAAAGGGTGGTCACTTGAACAAAATCCGATAACCTAACCTAACCTACCCTATTGATAAAGATAGTTAAATAATGTTTTATATAACTTTCTCAATTTTTTTATGTATTTTTCATTAGTTATACCTTTGAATATTGTTTAAGAATGACTATATAAATATTTACATGCCTAAAAATGTATAAAAGTTGGCATATTTATTAACTTTGAACCCCCATAACTTTTTATGGGGATGAGACCGCCACGAACTTTTTATGGTACAGTGGTGGGGGAGACCTCCTCTTTCGATCCCCCCCACCCCACCATCATCTAACGCCAGGGGGGCATCATCTAGACTACTCCGCTTGTTTCTGTTATAACTCTTCTGTTGCATCATTATCAAAGATCATCGGAAATACCATAATTTGATAAATAGTCCTAACTAGGATCATCAGGATAAAACTATAAACTAATTCTAATTTTCTAGGTGAAACATACACTTTGCGTAGAGAGACAGTGAAATTATTCTTTATCGAGATGAAAAGAAATTTTTTTTCCCTCGGGAACAGTATTTTTTTCTGGATAAAAGGTATCCTATGTTCATTTCTGTACTGCTGACAATCTGTGTACAAAATTTCATGATGAACGTGAAGTAGCAATAAACAAACAAACAAACAATCGCTTTTATAATATTAGTTAGGAAGTAAGGTGCCATCTTCTCCATCTTTTGAAAGAAAAACAAAAATTATTTCGACATTTACTAATAATTTATTTTTCCACTAGGTAGGTAAATCTCAGCGCCAGTCGTTTCGTAAGTAAACAATTATTTACAATTTATTTTGTACTATACATACATTAAAACAGAAAACAATTCTTCTACCTTTTCCTTCGTAGTAAGTATTAAAAAACAACACATAATAGCGCGCACCTTCCTCATAAAGCTAATCTCCTATTAGGAATTCCTAAATATCACAGCGTTATCCTTAGTAAGTAAACTATGTACATCATACTGACAATGCTTTCCGCAATTATGGCACAAATGTACAAACTAAACAACATTAACAAATGCTATACCGTACTACATCAGGTACATTTGGTAGGTACCATTTTCGGATAGAAGTACCATTTTGCCTTTCAGCCTCTTTCCATTTTACCTTTTAACATTCGCATTTGATAAAATGATAATTGTTCATGTTGTAAAATTTACATTATAAAATATTCTTATAAATATTATAAAATGGTTTCACTTATTTTCTTTTGGTGAAATGATGTTTTCTTTTGGTGGAAAGATCACGAATCTGACGGATTAACAACGAGTTCGACTGTGACAGCTACTGAGAGGAACGCCACCCATGCAACCATAAGGATAATTCCAGATATTCGCGAAAGGCGGAATTTATTCATCATAAGTATGAAATATAGGGCTGATACAACTATTATTAACGATAAAACTGTGTATTGAATGCTACCGGATTCAAGCTGCACATATGACTCATCATTGGCACCACGACTTAAGGTTGAAATGAACCAGGGGAATCCCAGAGATAAGAGAACGTTCATTATGTTTCCACCAAGAGAATTCGACACTCCCATTGATCCTTCACCTGTAAAGAACCGAAAAGTGAAATTTCTCAAAATTATATTATATTATATAAAAATCATTTGTAAAATAAATAAATAAAAGTGTGCAAAATCAGAAATTAAATGCTACAGAAGTTTTTTAAAAAGAGATTACCTACGTCTTGCTTTTTTTTTGGTTTATTTGTGGAAATTAGGGAAAACATAAAGTTTATCGTAAATATGAATGCTGTTTAACTAAGGATAATTAAATTTAAAAGATAAAAAATGAGTTTATTCAAAGCACATTTTCTTACCTCTCCTTGCTTTAATGACTAAGGAAAACGCCTCAGGTAACGCCCCACCACCAGCAGATAACGTAAATCCCATGACGGTCTCTGATATATTAAAGGCACTTCCTGTAAAAAAAAGTAAATTCCGTAAAGTTCATGTTTTTAGATCTATTAAGAGAGAGTAGAGAAAGAGCTATTTTTTAAAGAAAAAAGTATTGACAAAAGAATAGAATGGCAATGATTGTTTAAATTTCTGATATGGAAGATACCTTTATGCTTGAATAGACTTACCAATAACTGTGACCATCCATGAAACTATATAAGAATTTAATCCAATACAAACGACACAAAGAAGGAAAGTGATAGGCGTAGTGATGGGATATTTCCTGTGATTGGGCATAACACATGCAAGAAACAGTCGCAAAGGCCACGTGTATATGAAGAGAATTTTAATCAGAATATTCCCTTTTGGCATTGTGAATAGTTGATTCTTCATATTGTATTCTGGAAATATGAAAAAAAGTCGTTAACAAAACGTTTTGTAATAGTCTTAAATCAATGCTCACATTTACAAATTTGGATTTTCTCTTATTAAAATATGTGCAATGACGAAAGTAACTAAGTTATAAACTTACCGTCGAATTTGTCAATGGAAGTTTTTTCTATATCAATTGTCATTCCTGATTTTCTTGCAGCATCCTCTTTACTTTGCCTTCGATCTATCTCTTCTTTACTTAATACAGATTGTCGTTTGCTTTCAGGGTTTTCTATTTTGTAAAAAAATAACACAATTGAAGTTACAATCGTATTTGCAATTTAAAGTTTAAATTTATTATTGCAAAAAACATTATTTTAACGTTCTTTTTTACGTATGAATTAACAATGAACAGTATGTTTCATTGGAAGCATTATTCATGAATTTTGGATTAAGCGATGCATTCAATACAAGTTTTCTACAAGATTTGCAACCAGTTAATTAGAATAAATTTTCCAACACGAAATATTTGTTATCAGGTGTACAGTATCAATTTCTATAATGGCTAGCCAAATTATTTTTTTGCGTATATGTATAGAAACATAAATTACCTTGATCAATTTTTTCATCGCTAGACACGTATATATTTCGCAAAAATTTGTTCCTCATTCCGAACTCCTTTATCCTGTCTGAATATTTAGCTGTTACGAAAATGTATATGAAGAATAGGATATAGACAATCTCTAAAACCAATGCCTCGTACCAAAATACTTTGCCATCCCAAATAATGGTAACTAAAAGTCCTATTGTTACAACATAAAACGAAGAATCTCTGGTTACGGGCCACCAATCTAATTGAAGGGGCTGAAACAAGAAAACAAATAAATAAAATTCATGAATCAAAACAGTTACTTACATTAAATTTTAATATATATGTTAATAGATATTATCGGAGGTAGGGTATGTCGGTTTTTAAAAACCGGTTTTTTGGAGAAAATTATGAAATTCGAAAACCGGTTTTTTAGTAGAAAATATCGGTTTTCAATGTATGAATAACACTTAAAAAA